TTTGTTGCCTTTTTTAAACTATTCATTTGTGTTATACATTGTCTGCTGGATTCTCACTAGTCACCCTATACCAGTTTTGACAGATGCAGAAATGAAAGAGTTGTAAGAGTGTACTGACCCTCTTTACAGACGCCTTGGACACTCTGTAGAGGTGATTGGTGGCAATGCGTGCATTGATCCGATTGAGTGCTATCTGCAGAGCATCATCTGCTTTTAAGCTGAGTTTAAACAGAGGAAAGCCTATGGTTGCATGTTGAAGGTCATGTTACTCATTTAAGGATTTACAAGATTAAAAAGCAGCATTTTAGACTGTTTTCAAAGGTTAAGAGTTTCTAATAATAAAAACAAATCCAAGTCATTTTAACCACTGACTTTTATTTTAGCAAAGTATGACCGCTGCATATACAGTATGTTTCCATTGTTAGCCTTACCAGAGTATTGTTACATATTTATTTCTTACACTCTGCTAATAATATATCAAGATCACACTCACCTAAAACTCCCAAAACCTGCAGGAGCAGAAACAGAAAAACACAGCACCTCATTTTCATGCCAGACTGGATGCTCTTACTACCACACAGTCCCGTTTTTAACTGTTATGTTATGTTACTGTTATCTCTCTCCTGTTCGTACACATCTAGGTAAAGAGGAACTTTGTCATACAGACCCAATGCTTGTTTTACCCAGAATATGTTCTGATAATCTGATTTCAAAAATGACTGTGTAATGTGTGTGCGTGCGTGCGTGCGTACGTGCGTGTGTTTGCAAAAAATGTTTAATTTCTTTCTAAACTTTTTCTTTCAGATTTTCTCCTGCATCTGAAAACGTGAAATTATAAATGATTGCAAAGTAACTTGTGCACAAAATATGAAGTTGCCCTCCCACTTGTAGGTCAAAGGGGAGCTGAACAGAGGAATGTCTATGTGGCAAGCAAATAATTATAAACAAGAACATGATGGGGAGTGAGAAATTTAAGTTTTAATAATGAGATTAATATATTTTCATGACAGTAAAAATCAAATCTGTGACTCTGATGAAAAAGCTAAGTGAACAGACATCTAATTTTGTCATAAGCCAAGATGAAATCTGCTTTCTTAACAATTAGTAATTTCTGAGAGCTCATATTACCAACAGATGCAGAGCGGTGTTCAGGGAAGGCTTGACAAGTTCCTGTTGTTGTAGATCAGTTTCATAAATCATGAATTGTTACAGCTAATTTTCACTTCTTACTCCTGTGAGTGTATAGTCTGTTAAACATATTTGAACTATTACACAGTTATTGTTCAGGAATAATGATACTTATGTTCAAAGTTCATTGAACATGTTGACAGTTGTGACACCATGTCCTAATAACGGAGGTGTTGCCACACTATGCTGGGTTGTTACAATGGAGTTTGATATTAAATGGCATATCATAGGCTATTCATCAAATATTTAACAGTACAAGAATTATGAATCAGAAAAAATTTAAAAGGCAGAAATATTGTTTCGGCCAACTAATGTTATGAAAAATACCCTTGTTGAAGCATTCAATGAAAAAAAAAATGTGTAGAAACTATTTTAACTCATAATTTGCTAGTAAATTTCACAATTAATTACAAAGTAGCACATCGAATTAAATGTGAAAATTAAATTAAATGCGAAACAGACTGAAATAGTATTTTTCTTGTAAAATGTACTCTAAAAGCACTTTCTGTTCTACATGCAACTTGAAAAGATATTTTTTTATTTTTATTTTATTATTATTTTTATAGTGTTCTTACATTTTTAGTCACCGATGTGCAGGTGTTAGTAGAAGTTGTCCCAATTTTCTCACTGGTTTCTATTGTGCTAATCCAGTTGTCCATATTTATGTGCTCAAAAATACAGTAAAACAGTACTATTGTGAAATATTATTACAATTTAAAATGACTGTTTAATATATCTTAAAATGCAATTTATTTCAGTGATGCAAAGCTACATTTCAATATAATAATATATCACAATGTTATGGTTTTTACTGTATTTTTGATCAAATAAATGCAGCCTTGGTGAACAGAAGGGACTTCATTAAAAACATTTTAAAATCATAATGCTTACAAATGTTTGACAAGTACTGTATATACAGTATTGTTAATAATATATATTATTAGAAAGTATTTATTCGACATGCACACTGTAATCCCCGATGTAAGTTGTTTTCCTGATTGTCTTAAAGTTTAAAATCAATATATATTTTTTAGTACTGTGAGCTTGTTCAATTTGGGTCCACAAAAAAAAGAGAATATTTCTTTAAGGGGTCCTATTATGCTCTATTACAAAGTCTTGATTTTGTTTTGGGGGTGTACTAGAACAGGCTCTCATACTAGGTTGTTCGAAAAACATTATTTTTCACATATTGTACATTATTACAACACCTCTCTCCCCAGTCTGGCATGAACGGATCGAATAGTTCTTGTATCAAATGAAGGCCCGCCTTCTGAAATAAGAAATGTGCTGTGATTGGTTAGCTGGGCCAGTGTGTGTTGTGATTGGCAGCACTCGGCGCCTGGTCGG